TGTTGTTTGGCGGGTCCGGGCTGGGGATTCGAACCCGCCACCTTAGGTGTACGTGGCTGGCGCCTTAGCCGGTTGAGCTATAGGCCCCGAGCCGGGTGTCACTTTTTAAAAAGCAAATCCTTCTGGAGCCCTTCTCCCCATAGCTCCAAGGCATACTGCTTGTGACTCTGTGTTTCTTTCGAAAAATAAGACTAGTTCTGTTCTAATTCTAATATCAAAGATTCATGGTTAAATTGTCCATTCAACTGCTTTCTTGATTCCTGCTTGACCCCTCCTCCCTCCAAAGAGGTCTAGTCTCCTGGCATCTCTGTATCTCCAGCCTCTCAAGGTGATCAAAAATGTTCAGTGCAACCTAGGTAAAGCAGCAAGATCCTGACTCTTGGTTGGAGCCCATGGCTCAGTGAGTAGGGCGCCGGCTCCATATACTGTGGGTGGCAGGTTTGAACCTGGCCCCCGGCCAAACTGCAACAACATCAAGAAAGGAAAGAAGAAAGAAAGAAAGAAAGAAAGAAAGAAAGAAAGAAAGAAAGAAAGAAAGAAAGAAAAAATAGATTACGTCGGGGGCACCTGTGGCTCAGTGAGTAGGACGCTGGCCCCATATATCGAGTGTGGCGGGTTTGGGAGGCTGAGGCAAAAGAATCGCCCAAGCCGAAGAGCTGGAGGTTGCTGTGAGCTGTGGCGCCACGACCCGCACTCTACCGAGGGTGACAAAATGAGACTCTGTCTTTAAAGAAAAAAAAGATCTTGACTCTTAAAAATAGAAATGGGCCAGGGAGCGGTGGCTTACTCCTGTAATCTAGTACTCTGGGGAGGCCGAGGAGGATGGATTCCTTGAACTCAGGAGTTTGAGACTAGCCTGAGCAAACGTGAGACCCGTTTCTACTAAAAATAGAAAAGTTGAGGCAAGAAGATCGCTTAAGCCCAAGAGTTGGAGGTTGCCGTGAGCTATGATGCTACTGCACTTTACCCAGGGCAATAGCTTGAGACTCTTGTCTCAGAAAAAGAAAAGAAATATTCATGGGACCTAATGGGTGACAACAAGATCTCTGTGCTGGAGAACAGAGTTGAAGGGGGACTACACTATGTCTCACCTCATTGCAAAGTCTAACGGCTTCCCAGAAGTCTCACCCCAGCACCGAGCCTTGTGGACACTTCGGTCTCTGCGGAAAGCCGGTGCCGCTAGGACTACAACTCCCAGAAAGCTGCGCGCGGGAAGCGCGAGCTGAGAGAACTTCCGTGCGCAGTCGTCAGGGCCACACCGGGAAGGGGAGTTGCGGGGCCCGAAGGTAAGGGCACGTTGACGGCTGCCAGCCGGGGCAAGGAGGGCGAGAGCAGCGGGGAATGGGTCTTAGGTGTGGAGGGTGTAGGGAAGTGGAAGGGACCGTGAGTTTTGCTTTCTTTTCTCGTAGTGACCATGACGAAATTAGCGCAGTGGCTTTGGGGACTGGCGATCCTGGGCTCCATCTGGGCGGTCCTGACCATGGGCTCCCTGGGCCTGGAGCTACCCTCGTCCTACCAGGAGGTCCTGTGGCCACTGCCCGCCTACTTGCTGGTGTCCGCCGGCTGCTATGCCCTGGGCATAGTGGGCTATCGTGTAGCCACTTTTCATGACTGCGAGGACGCCGCACGAGAGCTGCAGAGCCAAATCCAGGAGGCCCGAGCCGACTTAGTCCGTAAGGGACTGCGCTTCTGACACGATAACCCCATTTCTGCCAGACAGCCCTTCCCATTCCCCATTAAAGAGAAAGTTTATTTTCTAACTTTGTTTCGTTTGAGTATAGACAGTGGGAATTGGTGGTTCAGTGTTCAGGATGTCCAGAAGTGGAAGAACCATTTTCCTGAGGCTGGTCTTCCTGATTTTTGCTCCAAAGGAGGCAAAGACCCCTTCTCAAGATCTCACAGGATGGAAATGGTATTTCACTTTCCTGGTCCTTTTAACCCTGTACAAAGTACTTGAAGTTCTGTTCTTCATAACATCCACGCTCTGTTCTTTTTAAGACCTTTCTGGGTTTTTCCTACCTTTCGGTTTTTTCTGATACCTTTTCTGAGCCTACTCTATCAGCTTGAGAATAACTGGATCTACCTTTAACCACAGCAGGCAGGTTTAGTATCATGAAGAGAGAGTGAACCATGATGGGCAGGGGTGAGGAACACTTTATTTTAAGGCATATTCTAAAGCTATCACCCCGACCTCCAAAATTAAAAAAGATAATTTCTCTGAAAAATAAAAGTTATTTCATCTTGTAGGTCACACCGGATCATCTAAGTAAAGCTGTTTCTTTGGTCCCTCTAATCTCAAAGTTGTCTCTTATTCCCACAACCCACCGGGTGGGGGGTGGGGGTGGGGCTGGTCAGCAGGACCAGCTGAAATAAGCTCTCTTTGGTATAAAATTGGCATTAAGGTGCCCAGTAATCAGGTGAGCTGCCTCAGGTTTGCAGGAGTCGATAGTTCCTGTCTTGCTCCTGTGGGTACTTCCAGAAAAGCCAGAGGCGGATAAAGCTGGTGAGGATTCCTGGAATGTTTGGCACCTAAAATCACAAAGACTTCTATGAGGAGGGAAGCCAATTTTCCACCTTGCATACCTGTCACCCCAGCCCTATTCTGCTTACCATGATGTAGGGATCTCTGAGTCGAAACCCATAGAGGGACCAGGAGACAGAGGTAAGAAGGGTAGCAATGGTGAGTGAGAAGGAGAGACATTGTGTTGATTTGGTCTGAATGACTTTGGCCTGTGGGAAAGAATGAAAGACACTCCTGGCCCAGAAACATAGTAAAGCTCTCCGTTGCCTAAAAATTTTCTCAGGAAAAAGGTCCCTCCCTGATCTGTTACCCAAATCTTCTTTCCTGCCTCCCCCTCACCCACTTCTACTGCTTTCTCTTTCTAGGACTTGTATCTCCCCTTCCTCTGGAGTGTAAGCTAGTCTTTGGCTGTGAGAACCTGGCCCTTCTTTATCTCCCCTACCTCCCTGAACACCCCCACTCACCAGGTCAGCCAGTGGTGAGAGGTACATGCTGATGGTGAAGACACTGCAGAAGAGGCCCAGCTGCTGAAGCCGGGCCTCAGGGTCGGGCACCAGGAGCCCAAAGTAGCCATAACCCAGGAGAAGGATCCCTAGCAGGGTTGCAGTCTGTAGCAGCACAGCACGCTGCAGGGGAGAGAGTAGCTTTACTTTCAGATGTGCCAGGAGCACGCCTTTTCCCTGCTAGAATTAATTCATCCTGCCTTTTTCCTGTGCTACAAATGGGAAAGCTAACCTTTGTTTAAGCTTCCAGTATAGGACTTGTCAGCCCCTTTCCAACCAGTGACTTGAAGGGGAAATCATATTCACCCAGAACACTGGAGGTCTCCAGGGAAGGGAAAGGTATCTTTTTTTCTGTGACCTTAGGATACACAGTAGCGGCATTATAAATGCTTTCCTGATTGAGCGGGAAGGCGGAGCTAATCATCTTATTCTCACTCATTGGCCCTGGCTCTGAAAGAAATATCAGAGACAAAGCCCTTTCCCCTCAGCTTGCAGGGCAGCGTAGGCATCTCAGGCCAGGTAGAACTGCCAGCCTCTCCTGAGGGTAGTGTGTGAGTCTCAGAAGTTACAAGGAGGAAGAACAGCAAGGCTGGAGGGGCCTTCCAAGAAAAGGTGGCAGCACCAGCCAGTGACAGTCTTCTAAGAAGTAGTGTTTGCCCAAGGCAGGGCATGCAGCAGTGAAGTGGGTCAGAGTGAGGCCTGTACCTTCCGTGGGCAGTAGTGCAGGTATGCTGAGATGTACAGCGTCTGAAGGACAGCGCCCACTGCGTTGACCACGATGAGGGTCCCATCTCCCTTCAGGGTCCCATAACTCAGCCAGCCCAGGTTGCTGTAGGGTTGAGGGGAGGGACATGCCTGTGGTTCAGTATGGGAGGAGACCCAACGGTTCTCTTTCACGCTTCTTCTCCCCCTTCTCCACCTCCCTCGGACAGCCTTTCCCGCCACAGCTATCGCCCCTCTCACTTGACTTCCGTGGTGAGAAAGGGCAGGAACTGGACGCTGTCCACACTCCGAGTCATCCACATATGCCTGAGGTCCGAGCTGTAGTGGGGCCCGAAGGGAGGGATGAAGGGTGGGAACCGAGAGTCAGGCAGCTGGGGGAATCACCCCACGTCTGTAATCCTCCCCCGGACAGCGCAGACCCTCCCCCAGCTCCCTTGCCTTCTGCCTCCGGATGAATGACCGGCTTTGCCTTTGTACCTAGACCCCCTCGACCCGACTCCACTTTGACCCCAGGTTCCGGACACAGTCTGGGACTGTGCGGCTATGTCTCTAACCCTCTTTCTCTTTTCCTGACTTCCCGGTTCTGCCCCAGCCCAGCCCGGCCGCGCTCTCACAGGCCGGTGGAGAACATGCCGAGGGTGAAGACCACGCACACTCCGGACAGGAGTGAGTCGAACACACCGCCTGTCTCCATCACGCCCAGAGTCTGAGCCCTCTCCAAGCGCCGCTCGGCCGCTAAGTCTGTCCCGGATCCGAGAAACCGGAGCCCCGCCCCGTGCGCTTGGCCCCGCCCCCGGAAGCTGGTCCGAAACCCGCCCTCTCCAGAATCCCCAACCGGAACTCGGGCCCAGCCCCCCGGAGCGCCTGTCTGGGTGTCTCGGCTGTGCGGCTGGGCCTCTGGGCCGCCAGCTCCCGACTGTACTGGTCCTCCAGATCCTGCCCTGCTGGTCCTGGTCAGTCGCGGTCCTAGGCCTCAGCATATTCGTTCCCAGCACCTGCGGCTCCTCATACTCCACCCAGCCCTAGCTTGGATGCGCCTGTTCCCATAGGCCCGTGAGCCTGCGCTGTAGACCTCAAAACAAAATCTGGCTGGACTGAGCTGGACTTCACACCTTCCACCCGGTGCGCCTTGTGGGAACCTCAGTTGCGCAGAGTTTGGGAGATTTTTTTCCTGGAGTTGGCTGAAGCCTCTTCTCAAAATAACAGGGATTGCCAAGAATCACCAGGTCTTTCTCAGATGCTTCTCTTAAGCCATAGGGCCAACTTCACAGGACTCTGCCAGAACACTGCCTCCCCCTGTTTCGTCACTGACCCCTTAGTCCAGCCCACTTGCTGCTGGGAAGTTTCCCTTCCAACCTCCTACACTTCTCTGCTGATGGGACTGAGGGGCGGGCCGCGTGCCTCAGTGGGTGTTCCCAGCTTCTCTGACTCACCCAAGCGGCTTGAGTACCTGGATGGAATGCCAAAGCCCAACTCCGAGTGGGAGGAGTGGGGCAGAGACTGCACAAGAACTCCCTAGGTGCCTGCAGGGACACTTCTGTCCTGGCCTTTTGGCTGCTGAGAAGCCAGACTTTTGAGAAAGAATGAAATTCGAACCCTGTTGCTAAGGGTGTAGCACAGAGCCTAGCACACAGTAAGGCATCAATGGTCATAAATTAATATGGACTGGCAGAAAAGCACACCAAAAAACAAACACTTTATTTTGAGACAAAAAACGTTGTATAAAAAACTCCAGTTGTAGAAATCACAGACACACAAATTTATATACAGATAACTGTACACATGGGCCCTGCCCTTTATACTCTAGGCAGACTGTACACATGGGCACTGCCCTTACAGCTACACACTAAGAACAGGTTGGCACAGCCCCCCTGCTGGCACAGCTCTGGAGATCACTGCCCCAGGATGGAAGAGAAGGCAGTGCCTGGCTACAAACTTCTCTGTAACAGCTCCACAGATGGAAGTCTTGCCAGGGACGCTGGGTCAGCCCAAGCATACTGCCTCTCCTGTACCTGGCTCCAAGCAGGAAACTGTTTCTTGCTTTTCCTTCACTCAGTTCATCTTAACATCCTGGATCACTCTTGGAGGGGCACTTTTGCCATACTTTGTCCATCCACATGGTCCCGGCCTCTTTCAGCTTGGCTCCCACTCTGACCTTTTTAAGGGACCATGTCTCCACAGCTTGTTTCTTTGGCTTAAAGGCAGGAATGGTGGGAAAAGGATGGTCCCCACTTCTTTTTCCATCCCTTTGAGAAGGTGGGGATGGCACTGCCAGGCTGGTTGACCTCCTTTGGGTTGAAACCCTCTTAATACCCATTTTGAGGCTACTAGGTGACAGCTTGTGCATGTGATGGGAGTGGTTCCTAGGACTGAGGCTTTGGGAGTGGCCCAGGACAGGTATGGGTGTCTGTTCCTGTCCCCTCAGCCCAGTTCCAATCCTTAAGGCTAGGTGTGGCATACACCTTCATGGGGTTTGCAGCAACAGAAGTGGCAGGAGCAGCACAGCCCAGGCAAATGGGAAGAGGCGGGGGGCAGCACTGTGACCGATGCTGTGTAGAACCTGCACTTCCGGGTCATCTGCAAGGTGAGAGGGCAAAGGCCCCCATTGTGAGTAGTGCCACTGTTTGCACTGGCCCTCAGCACAACAGGGTTTCCCAGCTCCTGCCTGGGAAAAGAGCCACCTCCTATGCCTAATATTCTCAAGCAGACCCCTCCCTATGCCCCAGCTACCCACCTGCTGCAAGTCTCTTCTCCTGTGAATTGGCATGGGCCTGAGGACTGTGAGCTGAAAGACAAGAAGGATGGTAGATCAGGCATTGTACTAGGGATGCAGAGGAGTGACTGGGTTGGGCTGTGGGACTCCTATATCATCCCGGATCACTAGGCCAGGCCCAGCATAGAGATGTAGGAAAGAGGTCCACAGGACCCTGACACTCACTGATTTTGCCATTGACAGTCACCTTCAACCTCAAGCACTGGTCTTCTTGGTGGTGGATGGGTTTGGCTGCAAGATAAGCATACAGGGGGTTAAGGAAGCAAACTTTGTTAGAAGAAAATGTAAGTCCAGGTGCCTCTGGTCTTGCTTTCTTATTAATTTTAATTCCTCTCTTCCCTCTAATCTTGATTCCTACTCTCCTTAGTTTTGGTTGACTTCCCACTGAATGTTTAGCCTTATCTCCTATTCTTTGGAATAATCTTCAGCTTTGGTGGTAGTGGTAAAAAGAATGACACTGTCCCCTCCCCACATTCCATCCTTTATTCCTCCAAGCCTGAAGTTGGGTGAAATCTTCACAGATATGTTTCCCTTACCTGGGCTATTTTATTTATTTATCTATTCTATCTATCTATTTTTTGGCTGGGGCTAGGTTTGAACCCTCTACCTCCGACATATGGGGCCGGCGCCTTACTCCTTTGAGCCACAGGCACCGCCCTATTAATTTATTTTTGGAGACAGAGTCCCACTATGGCATCCTCGGTAGAGGGCCGTGGTGTCACAGCTCACAGCAACCTCAAACTCCTGGGCCCAAGCGACTCTCTTATTTCAGCCTCCCAAGTAGTTGGAAATACAGGTGCCCACCACAATGCCTGGCCATTTTTTTTGTTGTTGCAGTTGTCATTGTTGTTTTAACAGGCCTGGGCTGGGTTTGAACCCACCAGCCTTGGTGTATGTGGTTGGTGCCCTACCCACTGAGGTATGGGTGCCACCTACCTGGGCCATTTTATATGACTCCTGCCTAGCTCCCAATGACAGAGTGAGTCCTAGATCCATTCTACACAAATTCCATCTATTTTCTTGTAGAAATGTCATTTCGCTATGTTGTCTAGGCTGGTCTTGAACTCTTGGGCTCAAGCAATCATTTCTCTTTGACCTCCCAGAGTGATTACAGGCAGGAGTCACTGAGCCAGGCCTGATCTTAGAATGTTTAAAATCTACCATTAGCTCACCACTGCCCTTAAGGTTAAGTTCAAACTCCTTAGCACGATCTATGCTATCTTCCTCTCTAAGCTCATCTCTCTCCACTTCCTGGGTCCCTCTCACTCTAGCCATGCTAAAACACAGAAGTTCCCTGAAGATGTGCTCCCTTATGTACCTTCATGGCTGGCCATCTTCTCTGCTTGTTCTAAGCTTTGGTGTCATCTTCCCCATTAGGACTTCTTTGAATCCCCTAGCCTGACAGGTGCCCAGACCATTTTCCCAAGGCTCTTGTGCTCATGTCTGTCATATCACGCTGTTTTAAGACTGTTAACCTATGTGTATGTCTTCCTGGCTTCCTTGAGGACAGGGGCTCTGTAGTGTTTTATTTATTTCTGTGTCCACAGTGCTGAGAAGTATACCTAGCACAATAGAAGCTCACTCCCCTTTTGTGATATAAGCGAATGAAAATAGAATTCAGGGTTGGAAAGGGCCCTTGCTGCTTGACTTCCCAATAAGCATGTACCTAAGCATGTACATCATATCAGGATGGGCACCAGTTACTCACAGATGTAGTAGTAGCTGTGGCCTTCTTTGAACTCCTTGCCCAGGGTGAAAGGTGTAAAGCGCTGGAACTTCTCAGATAGCTTCTCTGGGCCATGTCTGGCATTGGGCTGGTTGCACTGCCAGCGGACCTGGTCCTTGGATTGGGGCTGGCACAGCTGGTATTCCTCATGTTCCACCAAGTATAGTGTGTACCGCTCCATGGCAGTATCTGCTACAGAATCATCCTCATAATATGGACAAATGATGTCCAGGTAGTCATTCAGCCGCACATGCACTGTGTAGTCCTCTTTCCAGAACCTGCACCCAAAAAGGGGGAGGAAGCAGGTGACCATTTGGAAGCCAAGCCAGAGCCTGAGCCTCCATATGTTTACGTGATCCTCACATTTCATGCTGGACCCCCTGAAGATTTTTCTAAAATCTCCACTCCCAGTATGTACTGATCTTGATCTCTTACATGTCTCTTCACCAACTCTAAATGCTGCCTCCTTGTCTCCTATTGGTCCTTCAGATATTGTCCAATTGGTTCTTTCCAGATCCCCTAGCACTTTCCAACCCTCCTGATATTTACCCAAGGATAGGCTTCCTTTTATAGGTGTAGCTCACTCTTCATTCTCTTCTACCCATAAATATTTCCCCAAATCTGTTCTACTAGCTGTTTCTTTTAAATGTGATTAGACCCCAACCTAAGACCTTATTGGACCTTCAGTAATCAGTATCCTAAAAACTCTGAGCTCCCAACACATCTATGTCTTTACTTTTCTTACTCCTTTCATCTTCCCCCACCCAGCCAATATGTCTTCCATTTCCCAGCTTCACTTTTCCCCATACCCTATTAGGCCCAGGCCCACAGATAATAGCCCTACTCCTGTAAGTTAAATCATTCTCATCAATTCATTCAGTTCTCTCAGGTCTTCCTTTCTGGTTACTCAAATTTAAGCCCTTAAGTCTCTTGTCCCTTTCTCTCAGAATATCCCCAAACATCCCTGTCCCTGTATCTCCAAAAGCAACACTTACACCTCCCCCTAGATGAAATGTGAAGTTCTCAGATTGAGGTGGCTTCTTTCCTCTCCACCTCCCAAGGTGCAGCCAGCTCCCCTCCCCCAGTCTGTTTTCCCCAGGCCCCATAGGCTCCAGTCTGACTGCCCACCAGCCCCTCCCCACCAATTCCAGACACCTGGCTCCAGTGTGGGTGGGGTCCCAGTAGGGGGAAAAAGAACCTCCCCACTTCCCTCTCCCCACTGGTCAGCTTCTCTGAATTCCCCCAAGCACTGCCAACTAGAGACTCAGCAGAGTGAGCTGCCAACTTGCTTCCAACCAAAGCTCTGGACGTTGGGGGGCGGGAGGGCTGTGGCAGTAGAGGAGTTAGGCCAAGAGGGCTCTGAGGTGGGCACTCACTGCCCAGTCAGCATGACCCCCAGGCAGCCTGGCTGGCCTGGCTGGCCTGGCTTTGCCGTGGCCAGTGAGCACAGGAGCTAGGCTTACCAGAGCCCCTCCCCCACCCCAGGGAAAAGAGAGAGAGGTGCAGAGAGGCTTTTAAAATTCCTCTCTGGAGAGATAAACATAGAAGCCATTTCGGAACAGGTATTTCAGCTCTGGGCCTGGCATCTTTCCCCCATTCCCGTGACGGGCACTGACTCATTCCTCATCCACCTCTGCTACCCGCCCCAGCACTCATGAGAACTTGTGAAAATTTATCTTGTCAAGTGTGAACTGACCCCAGGACCCCAGGATGGCACTATGCCCACTTGCCCCAGCACTGTCCTCCAGGCAAGGGGGACTGGCAGGTCTGAATAGACAGGACAATGGACAGCCTATAGACCAAAGAGGTCCAACAGCGGCAACACCCTTTTCACCATGCTGCCCTGCCTGGGGCCTGGAGATCTGGGGCTGATGCCCACAGTCCTGAGTGAGTCACCTATGCCAGCCTCACACCGCCCAGCTCAATGCCACCTCATACCTGCCCCCACGCTGGGCCTGTCCTGGCTGCCTATTGACTTCTCTCTGGCCTGGCTTCTCATTAGTCCTGGGTATGGTAGGGAGTGTGTGTGTGTGGCCAAAGGGACAGGGCAGAAGCTGTGCTGGGTGGGGGCACCCATCACCCCTCTCCTGGAGGTAGAGTCTGCTCCACTTAGCCTCATTTGACTCTTGCTCTCCCTCTAAGAAAGGGGGGCAGAGGCGTCATGGAAGGCGGGGAGGGGGCAAGGAAGAGGCTCCTTCCTGAAAGAGAGGAAACCTGGGAGCTTGGGAACGGAAAAGACCAGGGTCCCCCCCACACACACACACACTCATGGCTTCCTGTCCCCTCCTCCTCTTTCAGTCAACACCTGGCATGGGCATAAACAAGGACTTTGGTCTCTCCCACTACCAGGATAAGATGGGCTGAGTCAAGGAGGCAAAGAACAGGCAGCAAGGAGAGGGGCAGGGAGGACTAACCGCTGCTAGAGCCCCTTGGACAGGGGCATTACCCTCTGGGGTTGGCAAGTGGCTGCTCCCTCCTCCACCCCAACCTGCCACAGATAGCAGACCCCCCTCCAGGTAATGCCACAGGTCAGAGGAAGCTGGCACAGTATTTCTCAAGGGGAGTGGGTGTCGGGTTCCTTGGGGCTGAGTATGGCTAAGCTGCCTGAAAGCTTTAGGTGACCCAGCCCTTCTCTCCTGCTCAACCCTGACCCTCTCTCCCGTTTTCCCCACAAATATTGTTCCCATAACTTCTGAAAAACTCAAGGGCAAGAACAAAGGGTCGGATAGCGTGTTCCTCCCAGTACCATTTGCCTTTCAGCCCTAAACCTGACCAAAAGTTAACTCCTTCCTGCCCAGAGCTCTCTGTAACCCTTTTAACCCCTTCCATTCCTTCTGAAGCTCCCATGACCCCTGTCAATCTCTTTAGTTTCACTACTTGAACCCAATAAAGCAGGTGACTCCGTCTGTCAGTCTACCTGTGCACAGCATGTACCTCACTCATGCTGCCCCCAAAGACCCTTGTGGACTGTTTTCCAAGGTCCCCTCAAATCCAGAATGAATGTTTAATTGCCTGCAACCCAAGACCTTCCCTCGGGGTCCTTCCAGGGTTACTTTGAACACTCTGCTCACTCTTGAAGTCACATCAGGTATCTGTCAATATGAGCAAGTGTCCAAGTAATACAAGAGGAAGAGCACAGAAGCTTCCATGGTACTAGAACACGAACCCTGGTGGCAGGGGAGGATGGTCTACGCTTCAGGTAGGACCTGCTTTACATGGGTCCCTCACTTCGGAGTCATAGGGTTGCCAGAGAGAAGGAAGGGAAGATCAGAAACAGTGCTTGCACAAGGGGACACTAGCAGGTTCCTGCCCTGGAGTGGGGTGCTTCTACAGACGAGAGAGAAGCGTGGGGAGGAAAGCTACAGACTTCCTCCCGTCTCTGGTCACCTTCCCAAGGTTCAAGTCAGGGACTCGTGGGGACAGTTATCCTGGGGCAGAGGGGAGCAGTGGCAGCCAGGCTCCCAGGCTGCCAGCTGGAGACTTGGGACTTACTTGGGATTTGAACTGTTCCAGAAGACGGTGTGGCGGTCAGCAGCGGCCAAACTGCAACACAGACCCAAGAGCGGGGCCCAGAGGAACTCCATAGCGCAGGGCTGGGCCGGGCCGGGCGGAGACTAGGGGCTCCTGGGGTCAGGGTTCCCGCTGGCTTTCTCCACCACACAACACGGCGCACTCAGCTCTGGCCCCAATGCCGGGCGACTCCGCCTTTTGGGCAGGCGCCCCGCCCGACACCCCGCCCCGTCCCCGCCCAGCCGGCGCGCGGCTGCCCCCAGGGCTTGGGGGCGGGGAGGTGGGGGAGGGGCAGGCGGGGGGTGCGGGCGACGCTCTTCTGCCCCAGCAAATCCGCTCCAGGCTGTGCGTTCTCTCAGTTTTGGGTCAGAGTGAAGCTTGGTGCCACCACCGCACTCTGGGTGGTAGGCTTGTGGGCGCGTGCGGGAGAAGGGAACCATCTCGCACGTGCGAGTCTGCAGACACGCCGGTGCGGGATCCGGCTTTGCCGCGCCAGCGCGCGGATCTTGCAGGGTGAGAGGCGGTTCTGTCCCGCGCCTTTCCCGAGCCCCGAACGCCGGTCCTTGGCCGCCAGCATTCCCACACGCTCCATCCGCTCCCTTCCCGGACTCTGCTTGATCGCCCCTCCCCACACATGGGGCTGTTTGTTTTTGTTGGGTTTGTCAATGTTGTCTTTGTTCAGGATATTGTGTCATCGCCTAGATGCCGGGAATAAAGTGCGACGCTGTTGTGTTCAAGTGTGTAACGTGTGCGGCTGAGGCTCCGGGCTTCCCTCCCGTCCGTGCCTGCGTGGGGGAGACACACGCGGGCCCGGGGTGGGGGGGCAATCCTTGTTTCCAGGTGCATCAAAGGGCACTAATGACCTGTGCATAACAACCCACGTGTATATCACGGGAACGGCTCTTGAATATGGAGTGTGAGAATTCTGTTATCAAGGGTGACAAACTGTAACCACACGTGTACATCTGGCGTGTGTAAATACGTGTGATGGCACGCAAGTGTGAAAGCATTTGTGAGTGATATCACAGCAGCCGGTGTGGAAGCCTGTGAAACCCTTTGACATACGTATGCTAATGTTTGTGAGCGGCGTGTGAAAAGGAGGGAGCAAGTTGGGGCGTGCAGTGGGGGCGGGGGCGCAGGGGTGCTTGTGCGGCGTCCCCAGGCTGCGCGGCTGGTCTGGCCCAGCCTGGGCTGGGCCTCCTAGTCAGTCTGCCCAGCACCCGGCTGGGGCCCCCCACCCGCTGGCCAAGTAAACAATCCGCTGGAATTTGCCTCTGGGGGCTCTTCTCCCTGCGGGGATCTGTGGCTGTCTGGAGCGGCGTTGGCGGGCGGGTGTCAGCTTCTGGGGTGGAGAGGGCCGGCAGGTTTTTGATTAGACTTCTGAGTGTGGCCAGAGCGGCAGAGTCGAATGCTGTGTGTCTGGAGGTTTTTCGTGTGGTTATGTGCGTGCCCTGGGTAGGTGTTGTGTGTGCACACAGCAGGCTGGCCTGCACATCGCGGGAAGCCTCCGATCCCGGGTTGGTGGATGGCTCAGGCCCAGATTTCTCAGTTCCCAGGCCGTTTCATCCTCCACTTTTAAGGCCTGGCCTGGCGACAGCCCCTGTAATTACGCGGGGCCCGGACGCCGAAGCAAGTCCCTCACTGACCCCGCCAGAGGAGGAGCCTAAAGCCAACCAGGGCTCGATGCCCGCTCACCCACAGTGAGCTCAGGCCGCAGGAGGCTCGACTCCCCACGCTTAGGATAAATATTTACAAAGCGCCAAATAAGTGCGTGCGAGGCCAGGTAACCAAGAGGTCGGGTCAAGGCCTGGCTTTGCTCAGGGCCACCTCCACCCATACCTTCCCCCAGCACACCTGCCCCAGGCGACGTGCCTGGCCCCGTGTTTATGCCAGGTACGGCCCGCCCCTCCCACTGGGGCCGAAGTCTACCTGCTGACCTGCCCCGGGGCGGCAACACAGGTGCTTTTTGTTCACCTAGGAGGACACCTGGTGTCTGCCTCCCGCGTGCGCCTGGGGAGAGTACGTCCCAGCTGGAGCGGTCCTAGAGCTGAAGCTCCTTGAGGGCAGGACTTTTTGCTTTGTTCAGCCTGTGCCGGCATGCACCTAGCACGTGTAGCAGCCAGTCCTTAAGTCTTTGCTGAGCGAGGGAACACGCTGCTTCGTGAGGTGCTTAACTTGCTAAACATAACTGCTCAGAAGAGAAAGGGCAGAGGAGGTAGACAGGAGTGGTGATATTAGCTCTTTGAGGGGGCCCAGTATTGTCCCCTGGAAGAGACAGCTTTGGGTTGGATTCCCTCGTTTCTCTGGCCGCCGTGCTAGGCAGGAACGTGTGGGGTCCCACGCTGCTGCGCTCGGCTGGCAGGTTCGGGCTCGCTTAGCCCAGCCTGGCAGAGCCATGTCGGTTCCGCCCTGCCTGCGTCTAGGGTTGAAGCAAGCCAATGGACAAGGCATATGTGTGTGGTGGTGGTGAATAATGGGCTCAAGCAGAATGCAGAGCCTGCTTCCTCTGGTTTGGAACCATCCTGAACATTCTCACTTAGCGCCTTGATCCCATTACTCCCCGATCCCGACATCTGTGCATTGGAGGGACGTTCATCAGCTCTAATGCAGAGGCCCTAGACTCCCAGTGTTCAGAGGGACACTGAGAGCGTAAAGGCGAATCTAAATTCTCACCCCTCGGGGAGTCCTTAGACCAGTGGCGGAAACAGGCAAACTCCCACCACAATTCTGCTGAGCGTTGCAGACGGCTGGATGGCAGCCTGGCCGCTGCTCACCTTTCACCTTGCCCTCCTGGAGCCTTGCCATCCGGGAGCAGCTGCTAGGCCTAGTGGAGCAAGAGGAGAATAGGAGGCTCTGTGCCATCCAGACAGACAACAGAAGGGACTTCCAGGCTGGGAGTCTGGATCTGCAGACCAACTCCAGCCCCCTTCCTGTTCTCTCCCTACCTTACCCCACAGTCTGCCCATCAGGGTCTGGTCTCAATTTTGCTTTGGGATACCTCTCACCCCAAGTCATGTACCTGTGTTGGATCTCAGTACCACCCCACCCCACCCCACCCCGCAGGCAAACCTCTGTGCTTAGCAGTGAGAGCTGTCTGAGGTGTCTGTCTGTGGGCCTGTCTGGGAAATTTCCCTGTTGAGTCCTTTCTGGGAATTCCTGAAGGGCAAGACTAACCCTCCATGTGCAGGGGGTGAAGCGGGAGGGGAGGCTTCGCCTACCTGTGGGGCACTGTGGCCCAGTCTGGAACAGGCACAGCTACTTGATTGCTCCCTTGCTGGGTGCCCTGTGGTTTGAGGTGGGGACAGCCAGAACCACAGTTTTACCTGGTCCAGCCCCAGAGGGCATCTCTGGGCAGTAGGGTGAGGCAGCTTTGGGAGCAATGGAGCCTGAGCCCAGAGCAGCCTCTGCCCCACTCCCTCAAGGCCATTTTGAAAAATAAAGTATATGTTTCCCAATTTATTAGTGATGTGTGTACATTTTTCAAAAATTGGAACATAAGAAGAGGATAAAGGAAAGAGAACCACCAGCTACTGTGTTTATGTCTCCTCCCTACCAGCCTCTCCCAGTGAGATTGTTTGCTTGCTTGCAGACCGGGATACATATGACTCATTTCAAGTGTGCACTTTTCTCCCCTTTACACAGAAAATATTTTTCCATGCAACAAATTCTTTGTAAACAATATTTTTAATGGCAGTGTAGTGTTTCATTGAGTGTTTTAGAGTTTGCCATTGTAATGAAGCAGGGTATAAATAAACAAACACATTTACACACATCCCTCAGTTGCTGAGCAGTTGAGTTGATTGACTCTTAGAACTTAGATAAGGTCTATGCAAACACTGTAACCTACTTTTTTGTACCCTCACCTTAATCTGAAACTTAAAAAAAGAAAAAACAGGCTCAGCTTCCATAGCACAGTGGTTATGGTGCCAACCACATACACCGAGGCTGGCGGGTTTGAACCCAGCCTGGGCCGGCTAAATAACTGCAACCAAAAAATAGCCAGGTATTGTGGTGGGTGCCTGTAGTCCCAGCTAATTGGGGGCTGAGGCAAGAAAATTGCTTAAGCCCAATAGTTTGAGATTGCTGTGAGCTGTGGCACCATGGCACTCTACTGAGGGTGACATAGACTCTATCTAAAAAACAAACAAACAAAAACAATTCAAGTTACTACAACCTCCCCCCCACCCCAAGAACCCTGCAATTGACTTTCCTTATTTAACAGCTTGACTGACCCTGGATTGAACTGGGGACTTAGCTGTGAACAATAGGCAAGGGCCCTGTATTCATGGAGTTTACATTGGGCATATAGTTTTCTGGATTTTGGAGCATTTCACAGATGTACAAAAAAAGCTTTTTGTTAAATGTCGAAAGGTGGAAAGGTGCTGCAGAGAACCAGACAGAGTAGAATTAATAGCAGAGAATTATTAAGAGCATCTTCAAGCAGATGGGCTGCCACTGAAAGTGGAGAATGGCGAGAGCACCAAGTTAGGGCAAGGGGCATCTTTTATAGCAATTCAGTGTGTCACGCACATGTAGCACACGAGGTGGCCAGTGTGTCAGTCATAGCTCGGCAACTCTGGGTGTGGTGCAAGAGATCAACAGGTCACCTGCTGGAGGCCTTGTAAAAGGTGGGAAGGTTATCTGCTGGAAATCTGCTGTAACCTGGAAGGACTGTTTTTTCCTTTGTTTGTTTGTTTTTTTGAGACAGAGCCTCAAGCTGTCGCCCTGGGTAGAGTGCCGTGGTATCATAGCTCACAGCAACCTCCAACTCCTGGGCTCTGCCTCCCAAGTAGCTGGGACTACAAGTGTCTGCCACAATGCCTGGCTATTTTTTGGTTGTAGTTGTCATTGTTTGGCAGGCCCAGGCTGGATTCGAACCCTCTAGCTCTGGTGTATGTGGCTGGCACCTTAGCCACTTCAACTACAGGCGCCACCAAGACTAACATTTTTGATATTGCCACACCTAGTTCAGTTCTCTTATTGAAGGCCAAGATGATTGCAGGCTAATGGATCTGTCCCTCCCTACATCCCACTCAGGAGGGAGCCAAACTCTGTGGAAGAAGATGGAATTCTCCCCTTGGAGTCCAGTGCCGGGAAGAGGAAATTGGGAAGGATGGGGAGTGGAAGGGAGGTGGGCAGGCAGGAGGTGAGGAGGATGGCCCTGAGGTTTCTGCACAGAAAGCACCAGAAGACAGTTTATCCTGATGCCTTTTCCACCAG